CCCCAAAACCCCAAAACCCCAAAACCCCAAAACCCCAATATAATATGACCAGATTGATCCCAAGTTTGTAAATATAAAATTATTAAAGATGGGAAACTGATGTGAAACTACTCAACTTAGCTCAAAAAAGCGCAAAGAAAGTTGCAGAAGCATATCTGAATTTCTTGAAGTGATGTAAGTGCTTGATCCTGGTAGGATTCTCTCATTTTCATCATTGAAATATTAATTTAGAGACAAGGATGGATTTAAGACAAGTCACTATTTATCACAGAATACAGCTGATACTAGTGAGGAAACCCACGAAGATCTATCAAGTAAGCTAGACTCCTTCTTTTAAGTTTATTGGAACAACCATAATGCTTTGAGTAGAATATGAAGTTCACAAGTTGATAGGAAGAGGCTCATACGCCAAGGTCTTTCTTGTCTCAAGGACAAATACAGGCGAGAAGTACGCCATGAAAGTCCTTAGGAAGTGTGAAATGGAATGCAAAAGAGATGTTAAGAGAGTTTTTATTGAAAAAGATATCATCAGACATCTTGATCACCCCTTTATTGTGAAGTTGTACTCAACTTTTCAGACAAAAGATAAAGCTTATTTTATCATGGACTTGCTTAATGGTGGTGATCTATACGCCCATATCACTCAGTTCGGGAAATTTAAGGAATCTAAAGCTCGATTTTACGCCGCTGAGATCATCCTGGCTCTTGAGCATCTTCATAAAAATAAGATTATTTACCGTGATTTAAAGCCGCAAAACATTGTTATCGATAGTGATGGTCACATAAAACTGGCCGATTTCGGACTAGCAAAAACAAATTTCAAGCAAGATCAGGAGAACACTATCTGAGGAACAATGAAGTACATCGCTCCTGAGACTATTGGTGGTGGAAAGTACACCTTCACCATCGATTGGTGGAGTTTAGGAATTATTATCTACCGAATGTTGACTGGTCAGCTGCCTCATCCCACGTCAGCTAACAGTAAGATCCCAAAATATATAATAAATCACAAACTGCCCTTCAAGAAGGAGTTATTGACTAAGAATGCTTATAATTTAGTCACTAAGTTATGTGAAAGAGACCCAGAGCTCCGACTAGGCGCCTTAGGCGTGGATGAGATCAAGGAACACCCATTCTTTAAGAACATCAACTGGACCAAATTGTACAAAAAGGAGGTAAAACCTCCTTACAAACCCAGAAAAGGCGTGGTTACATGTGGTAAGTCCCTGATACTTTAAATATAAATCTTGTCTGATATTAGCAATTTTCGATATTGTTTGAGTAACTTCTCCAAGATGAAAGCTATAAAATCTTCTTTCATTTAAATAAACAAGGCTTCACTATAAAGTAAATCCTTCTATGCCTTGAATCGCACCAAAACTCTATCGAATTATGTATCTCTGAATATCGAATTCTGGGCTGAACATTCAAATTTTAAAATCTTTAATAACTCTCGATTTCTCGAATTCGTCAATTTCTTCTAACCTTCCGTTATAGGTGACCTTAGAGGAGGCCTAGAAGATACTAAGATAAAGAGAAGCCAAAAGAAGGGTAAGAACTTTCATAAAGAGCACTTCGTGAACTTCTCCTTCGCCTCTCCAGAACTTAGAGGCAACTACATCTCAGAATTTGACGATTTCGAGGAATCTAAGTACTAAGAGAATTTCTGGTATTGTCTGGTAATACTAGAGATATCACTAAATTTGTTATAAAATTGCTTAAACACCTCCTTAAGTCTCATAGGCCTTGATGGCACGCAAAAAGTAGTGCTAAGTATTGGTAGAATGAAAGGATTCGTACCTTAGGACCCTTTCATAGCTTTTGCTTGGATACGCTGGGTGGCTCACGAATCTCTCAAAACTTTCAATTTTGTAACGTGCTAAAGGGGTTTTGGGGTTTTGGGGTTTTGGGGTTTTGGGGTTTTGGGG